ACCAGCGATTAGCCTGTGCCCTGCGTCGCTGAGTACCTCCGCCTGGCATGACCATCGGTGATCACCCCGTGGATGGAGCACCGCAATCGTCGTGACGGCTGGCCCCTTGTAGGCCCCAATGGTATAGCAGGGAGTGAGAGGAAGTGCGCAGGGCGGACTGCTCGCAAAAGAAACGAAGATTGGCCGCGGACTAGCGGCATCTACTTGTTGTGCAGGGAAGCGCAAAACTTCGAGCCCAAATGGCTACGGACAATATTTCAGAGGAGGAGGAGGAGGAGGAGGAGCAGGAGGAGGAGGAGCAGGAGGAGGAGGAGCAGGAGGAGGAGGAGGAGGAGGAGGCGGCGGAGGAGGAGGAGGAAAAATCGGAGGCGGATGCGGAGGCGGAGGAGCGGGGGGTGGGGCGATCTGTCCGAACGAAGCTTGGCTGGGAACTGGTGCGCCCCCCGCACTAGGAGCAACAGCTGCTCGCTCTGGACCCGAACGGCGGTCGCTCCCAGAGGGAGGGGTGCACCAGCTGGGGCCTGTGGCAGCGCTACCCAGGAGCGCCAGGCGACGGCGAGGAAGAGGTAGTGGCTGTCCGTATGCCCCGCGCCAGCGACCGCCGCCCAGCCCCGCCAGCAGCTCCAGCGCCGCGCGCTGGCGCCCAGCCCGGCCGGCAGCGGCGCCGAGCCTGGCCAGCTGCGGTCCTTGGGCGGCGCCCTCGTCCGGGGCGTCCGGCAACCGGCGCGCTGCCGGCGTCGCCAATGCCCGCTGCGGCGGTCGTTGGCCGCCAGCCGCCTGGTTCAGCCTAGCGCAGGCCAGCCGCCTTGCGGAGCTGGCGCGCCGCGGCGGCCTGCCAACCGCAGCTCAGGACCTTGCAGGCCCGCGCCGGCTCCCGCGGCTGCTGGTCCTCGGGCAGCAGGCGCATTTGCCCGAGCAGCCAGCGGCGGGCCTCAGCGCCGAGCTGCCCTCCCTCTTCGAGGGCGAAGAGCGTCAGGCTGGCGCTGGGGTAGCAGGAGTGTTTGTTTCGCTCCCCCCGGGCGGCTGGCCTCCCGTTCCGCCGCGGCGTGGCGCACGAAAACGTCGAGCCAGTGCCGGTCGTCGTCGCCCTGGTATTCCAGACCCAGGAATGCGCGTTCGAGGCGGCCGTCCGGGTGGTGGTTTCCTGGTCGCCACCCTCCTGTTCGAAGAGGCGGCTCTCGCCGCGCCAGCGCTGGGCGAGGCTGCCGCCGTTCTTGCAGTGGAGGCCCCCGTGGCGCGCCGCCGCGCCCCCGCCGAGCTGGCAGGTGAGGGCATGTTAGCCTTGCTCGTCCATCGCCGTGGCGCAGGCTGTTCCACCAGCACCGCGCGAGCAGCGAGCAGCAGGCGGCCTCCGCCGTTGCAAGCTCCTGCTGGCAGAACTCCGCGCGCGGGAGCTGCAGCCGTCGCCGCGCGCCAGTCTGCCAGAAGGCGTCCTCCAGCGCTCAGAGGGCATATTCCGGGTATTCGACGGAAGCCTCGCTGCCTTTCCGTTCTGCGCCCCGCAGCTCGGCCTGTCGGGAAAGATGCAAGCGTCGCAACACAGCTGCGCGCTGTCTCCGTTGCGCCGTCTCGTCTCCGTGGCCAGGCCTTGCTTCAGGGGCGTCTGCAGCGCGGTCGCCAGGTCCCCGACCGCGGCGAGCTCCAGCCCTTGGGTTTGCAGTCCGCGCCTCGCCGATGCCAGCTGCTGAGCCGCCCACGGCAGCCGTTCCAAGCAGTCTGCTAATTAGTGTCCCGCAGCTCTGGTCCTCCGTGACCTCCAGCGCCGCCGTCATCCAGGAGGCCGGGAGAGGAGGAGGAGGAGGAGGAGGAGGAGGAGGAGGAGGAGGAGGAGGAGGAGGAGGAGGAGGAGGAGGCTGGATTGTCCAAGATCAGTCAGGGAAGGGCTACTGCGTGTGGCCCAGGGGGAGCTATTGTACTGACTGTGCGTCGTCTTGGGTGGCGAATCAAGTCTTTCAAGCTTAGGGTGGATCCTAAAGGGCTCGAGATGGACCTCGTGAAGGTTTGTATCAAGTACCCCAAAGCGTTCATCCACAGGGGCCTCAAAAGGCACCATGCGCAGCAGGCAGCTAGACTCATGGGCTGGAATGGGACCCCCTTCTTGGACCCGATCAAGGTTGCGCTGCAGGTCCCTTGGGCCAAAGGTCAATTAGCAGATATTGTTTCAATACACGCGTCAGGTGGAATTGGGGACGCAGTCGAAGCGCTTTGAAGAGCGTTATTCCTTGTCGTCCGCCTGCAGGTGGTGTGGACACCCGTCAGGCTTGATATTTTACAGACTTTACGGCTGCGACGACCCAGAGGCATGGCGTCGTGATCAGGGTTATGAAGATGTCGTGTCGGTCGGTTGGAAGTTCCCTAGCAACAGCTCAGTTGTCTTCGGGGTCACAGACAGTACGAGAGACGCCATGCCTCCGCCCCAGCATGTTCACGAATGCCCTCAGCGCGGTCTCCTAGGAGGCGGCTACCTCAGCGCGTTGATCTTTATAGACCGCTCGTGGGTCAACCCAGATGTGGAGGGGATGACGAGGGCAGGACGGGAGGACGTATCTCGCACGTTCGGCAGCGAGCTAGTCTCATCGGTGGCCGACGGGCCACGGCCAGTGCCTGTGCAGAGCGTGGGCATGGCTGAGCAGCTCGTGTTCTACATGGTTTTCTGGCTCATGGGGCCCAGGGCGACCACTATCACGGACCACAAAAACTTCTTGATATGCTTCCAGAAGGGCCCCGAGAAGATGAGCAGTTTTCAGAACCGTATTGGGAAGTCTGGCGACTGGTCTTCGGGAGAGTGAACGACGTGAGGTCGGAGAATGTGAATCTTCAGCGGGAGTTGTCTCTTAAAAGCAGTACGGGACACCAGAATCTCGACTTCTCGGACTCCAGGTACCATGGAAATCGGCAGGCCGTAAAGTATTCGAGGTTGGGGGCTCTAGTGCATCCAGTAGCGTCCCAGCTGGACCAAAGGGTCCAGGCGGCCTTGGTGTTCGGTAGGCAGTTCACGTGGCCCCTGGCAGACTCCCTGAGGCACCTGGTGACTTTAGGATTTCATGATTTGGACAAGGTCCCGTGGGCTACAAAGGTCCCCAGGCAGACCCAGACGTTAGGTGATGAACCCCTGTGCGTGTTAAAACTCACCACGGGGGCCCGAGGCCACCTGCTGCACAACGCTGCTAGCAGGTGGGGTTTCCAGATTTTGCGCAGTGAATGCGGCTCGTCGGAGTGCATTCACAAGAATGAGTGTCCTGGCAAGCCGAGGGCGCTTGCGAGGACGCACGAGTCGCATCGCAAGTGGGTGCTCGGCTCGGTTTTGTATTTCAGCAAGCAGTGCGGTTGCCACGCGCGGTGGCGGGTCAAGGACTTGGCCGCGCGCTGCGTTCGCCCTGCTGAGACTGGGAAGGTTGGGGCTGTGAAATACATGCGCCAGGGCATGGGTCCCGCTTCCAAGGTGTTGTTGGGGCGCCCCTTCCCAGTCCTCTAATTGTCCCAACGGGCCAGTCTTTCACCGAGGGATTGCGTCCGCAGAGGCTCCAGAGGCTCCGGAGGAGGAGGAGGAGGAGGAGGAGGAAAAGGAGTTGGAGGAGGAGGAGGAGGAGGAGAAGGAGGAGGAGGAGGAGGAGGAGGAGGAGGAGGAGGAGTAGGAGGAGGAGGAGAATGAGGAGGAGGAGGCGGAGGCGGGGCGGAGGCGGAGGCGGAGGCGGGAGGAGGAGGAGGAGGAGGAGGCGGAGGCGGAGGAGGGAGTTGGAGGAGGAGGAGGAGGAGGAGGAGGAGGAGGAGGAGGAGGAGGAGGAGGAGGAGGAGGATGAAGATGAGGAGGAGGAGGAGAGGAGGAGGAGGAGGAGGAGGAGGAGGGAGGAGGAGGAGGAGGAGGAGGAGGAGGAGGAGGAGGAGGGAGGGGGAGGGGGAGGAGGAGGAGGAGGAGGAGGAGGAGGAGGAGGAGGAGGAGGAGGAGGAGGAGGAGGAGGAGGAGGAGGAGGAGGAGGAGGAGGAGGAGGAGGAGGAGGAGGAGGGAGGCGGAGGCGGAGGCGGAGGCGGAGGCGGAGGCGGAGGCGGAGGCGGAGGCGGAGGCGGAGGCGGAGGCGGAGGCGGAGGCGGAGGCGGAGGCGGAGGCGGATGAGGAGGAGGAGGAGGAGGAGGAGGGAGCAGGGAGGAGGAGGGAGGAGGAGGAGGATGAGGAGGAGGAGGAAGAAGAAGCAGAAGAAGAAGAGGAGGAGGAGGAGGAAGAAGAGGAAACATAATAGTAATAATAATGATACTACTACTACTAATAATAACAATACTACTACTACTACTAATAATAATATCAATAATAATAATAATCGTAATAATACTAATACTAATAATAAAAGTAGTAGTAATAATCATAGTAATAATAATAATACTTAAAATAATAATAATACTAGTAATAATAATAATAATAATAATACATACTACGAAGAAGAATAATAAGAATAACACGAAGAAGAATAATAATAATAAGCAAAAGAAGAAGAATACGAATACGAATAATATTGAAGAAGAAGAATAATAATAAGAATAAGAATAATCATAATAAGAATAATAAGAATAATCATAATAAGAATAATAGTAATAATAATACTAATAATACTAATAATAATACTAATAATAATAATAATATTAATAATAATAATCATAATAATAATAATAATAGTAATAATAATAATAAGAAGAAGAGGAGGAGGAGGAGGAGGAGGAGGAGGAGGAGGACCAGTGCAAACCCAAGACTCACCCACGACGTTCCGTAGCAATTTTTGGGCAAGCCAGCCCCAGGTTCGATTGGACCGGCCGCCCTGCTGCGGGCGCCGGCCCTGGCGGCCCCCGCGCAGGGCGCGAACCGTTGCTATTCCGCGATGATGAACAGCGGCCCAACAAGAAGCTTGTGCGGCCCGCAGACGCCGCCCAAGCAGCTCGCGCGGCCGCAGTCCGCGTTCGATCTAAGGACGGACCTGTCCACCACCGCGTCTGGCTCACCGGAGAGCGGCTGGATGGCAGGGCGCCTGCGGCCCAGCCACGCCGCCCATGGGCAGCGGGCCCAGGAGTCGCCCAGTGATGCGCTGCACTTGCTCCAGCAGCATGTCTCCGCGGACTTCCAGCAGGGCATGGCGTGTTTGGCGTCTGCGGTCGCCGAGAGGCTCGACCGCCACGAGAGGGCTCTGGCCGCTCTCCTGGGCCCGCCCGCGGACGAGCAGACTGGCCCGCGCAGGGCGAAAGCCGACGGCCCCTCGCCCGTCTGGGCGCCGCACGCCCTGCGGCAGGGCGAGGACTGCGAGGTGTGGAGCACGACGGGGCGAGCCTGGATCGCGGGCCAGGTCACCAAGGTGTACGAGGAGGACGCGGTGGACTGCGGCCACACCGTCCAAGCCGGCACGGTCCGCGTGATCACGCCCAACAGCATCAAGTTCATCAGGGCGGCCGATGTGCCCCGCAAGCTGCGCCGCCCGCCGAGGCCCGCGCCGTGCACAGACGGCACGGAGAGGGCGATCGCCAGGGCGCTCGCGCTGGACACCGTGGCGGCCGTGCAGGAGGCCGTGGCCGCCGCCGAAGTCCGGATCGTGTCCGCGGTCGAGGACCTCAAGTCCAGGCTGGCCGACACCACGAGTAGCAGCGCCGACTTGCAGCGCGTGTTGGACGCGGTCGCCAGCAGGGCCACGGCTGCGGACGTGCAGAGGGCGGTGCAGGACTTCAGCCCAAAGCTGGCGGTGGACCTTCAGCCCGTGCTGGACGCGATCGCCAGCAGGGCGACAACTGCGGACGTGCAGCTGGCGGTGCAGGACTTCAAGCCTCAGCCAGCCGTGGACCTTCAGCCCGTGCTGGACGCCGTCTCAAGCAGGGCTACAGCGGCAGATGTGCAGCAGGCGGTTTGCAATTTCAGGCCAGTGCCTGTGACTGTGAAAACCGACGTTGACTTGCAGCCCGTGTTGGACGCGGTCGCCAGCAGGGCGACAGCGGCGGACGTGCAGCGGCTGGTGCAAGACATGAAGGCCCAGGAAGAGGTGAACCTTCAGCCTGTGTTGGACGCGATCTCGAGCAAGGCCGCACTTTCAGCCGTGGAGAAGTTGGCGCAGGACTTCAGGCCTCAGCCGGCCGTGGACCTTCAGCCTGTGCTGGACGCCATCTCAAGCAGGGCTACCGCCGCAGATGTGCAGCAGGCGGTTTGCAATTTCAGGCCAGTGGCTGTGAATACCGACGTTGACTTGCAGCCCGTGTTGGACGCAATCGCCAGCAAGGCGACAGCGGCGGACGTGCAGCGGGTGGTGCAAGACATGGAGGCCCAGCAATTGGCGAACCTTCAGCCTGTGTTGGACGCGATCTCGAGCAAGGCCGCACTTTCAGCCGTGGAGAAGGTGGCGCAGGACTTCAGGCCTCAGCCTGCCGTGGACCTTCAGCCTGTGCTGGACGCCATCTCAAGCAGGGCTACAGCCGCAGATGTGCAGCAGGCGGTTTGCAATTTCAGGCCAGCGCCTGTGACTGTGAATACCGACGTTGACTTGCAGCCCGTGTTGGACGCGGTCGCCAGCAGGGCGACAGCGGCGGACGTGCAGCGGCTGGTGCAAGACATGAAGGCCCAGGAAGAGGTGAACCTTCAGCCTGTGTTGGACGCGATCTCGAGCAAGGCCGCACTTTCAGCCGTGGAGAAGGCTGGCGCAGGACTTCAGGCCTCAGCCGGCCGTGGACCTTCAGCCTGTGCTGGACGCCATCTCAAGCAGGGATACAGCAGCAGGTGTGCAACAGGCGGTTTGCAATTTCAGGCCAGCGCTTGTGAATGCCGACGTTGACTTGCAGCCCGTGTTGGACGCGGTCGCCAGCAGGGCGACAGCGGCGGACGTGCAGCGGCTGGTGCAAGACATGGAGGCCCAGCAATTGGCGAACCTTCAGCCTGTGTTGGGCGCGATCTCGAGCAAGGCCGCACTTTCAGCCGTGGAGAAGGCTGCGCAGGACTTCAGGCCTCAGCCGGCCGTGGACCTTCAGCCTGTGCTGGACGCCATCTCAAGCAGGGCTACAGCCGCAGATGTGCAGCAGGCGGTTTGCAATTTCAGGCCAGCGCCTGTGAATACCGACGTTGACTTGCAGCCCGTGCTGGACGCGGTCGCCAGCAGGGCGACAGCGGCGGACTTGCAGCAGGTGGTGCAGGATTTCAGTCCGAAGCCAGTTGTGGACCTTACGCCCGTGCTGGACGCGGTCGCCAGCAGGGCGACAGCGGCGGACGTGCAGCGTCTGGTGCAAGACATGGAGGCCCAGCAATTGGCGAACCTTCAGCCTGTGTTGGACGCGATCTCGAGCAAGGCCGCACTTTCAGCCGTGGAGAAGGTGGCGCAGGACTTCAGGCCTCAGCCGGCCGTGGACCTTCAGCCTGTGCTGGACGCCATCTCAAGCAGGGCTACAGCCGCAGATGTGCAGCAGGCGGTTTGCAATTTCAGGCCAGCGCCTGTGACTGTGAATACCGACGTTGACTTGCAGCCCGTGCTGGACGCGGTCGCCAGCAGGGCGACAGCGGCGGACTTGCAGCAGGTGGTGCAGGATTTCAGTCCGAAGCCAGCTGTGGACCTTACGCCCGTGCTGGACGCGGTCGCCAGCAGGGCGACAGCGGCGGACTTGCAGCAGGTGGTGCAGGATTTCAGTCCGAAGCCAGCTGTGGACCTTACGCCCGTGCTGGACGCGGTCGCCAGCAGGGCGACAGCGGCGGACGTGCAGCGTCTGGTGCAAGACATGGAGGCCCAGCAATTGGCGAACCTTCAGCCTGTGTTGGACGCGATCTCGAGGAAGGCCGCAATTGTCATGGAAGGCCATGCCCTCGCCTTGAAGCCGGTGCTCGATGCCATCTCGAGCACGGCCGCAATGGTCATGCAAGACCATGCCATCGTCTTGAAGCCGGTGTTCGATGCCATCAGGGCCACGGCCGCAGACGTGCGGCAGGCGGTGAAGAGCATCAGGCTCGAGGCGGTCCTCGACTTCCCGCCCGAGGGCCCGCTCGTCACACGGGCGACCGTGGCGGACGTGCAGCAGGCGGTACGAGACATCAGGGAGATGAACCAGGCCCTCGTGCAGGACTCGGAGGCCAAGAAGCTCTTCGACCAGGCCCTGCAGCAGGTCAGGAGGGAGACTTGTCCCGGCAAAGCAGCCTAACAGCGATGTGTAGGAGCACATCTGGAAGCATTCCCCTTGAGATTCAGATGAGAATCCAGTTGTAGAATTCTGCTGTTCTCGCAGTCGCAGTCGCATTCGCGATGACAGTCGCAGTGGCAACGGCAGTCGCAGTCACAGCCTCAGCCTCAGCCTGCCTCAGCATCAGCCTGCCTCAGCCTCAGCCTCAGCCTGCCTCAGCCTCAGCCTCAGCCTGCTTCAGCCTCAGTCTGCCTTCAGCCTCTCAGCCTCAGTCTGCCCTCAGCCTCAGCCTCAGCCTGCCAGCCTCAGCCTCAGCCTGCCTCAGCATCAGCCTGCCTCAGCCTCAGCCTCAGCCTGCCTCTTCAGCCTCAGCTCCAAGTCTGACCTCTGCCTCGGCCTCAGCCTCAGCCTGCCTCAGCCTCAGCCTGCATCAGCCTCAGCCTCAGCCTCAGCCTGCCTCAGCCTCAGCCTCAGCCTGCCTCACCCTCAGCCTCAGCCTGCCTCAGCCTCGGCCTCAGCCTGCTTCAGCCTCAGCCTCAGTCTGCCTTCAGCCTCGGCCTCAGCCTGCCTCAGCCTCAGCCTGCATCAGCCTCAGCCTCAGCCTCAGCCTGCCTCAGCATCAGCCTGCCTCAGCCTCAGCCTGCCTCTGCCTCAGCCTCAGCCTGCTTCAGCCTCAGCCTCAGTCTTCCTTCAGCCTCGGCCTCAGCCTCAGCCTGCCTCAGACTCAGCCTGCATCAGCCTCAGCCTCAGCCTCAGCCTGCCTCAGCATCAGCCTGCCTCAGCCTCAGCCTCAGCCTGCCTCAGCCTCAGCCTCAGCCTCAGCCTGCTTCAGCCTCAGCCTCAGTCTGCCTTCAGCCTCGGCCTCAGCCTCAGCCTCCCTCAGCCTCAGCCTGCATCAGCCTCAGCCTCAGCCTCAGCCTGCCTCAGCATCAGCCTGCCTCAGCCTCAGCCTCAGCCTGCCTCAGCCTCAGCCTCAGCCTGCTTCAGCCTCAGCCTGCCTCAGCCTTCAGCCTCGGCCTCAGCCTCAGCCTGCCTCAGCCTCAGCCTGCCTCAGCCTCAGCCTCAGCCTCAGCCTGCCTCAGCCTCAGCCTGCCCTCGCCCTCAGCCTCACCTCAGCCTGCCTCGCATCAGCCTCGGCGGCTCAGCTCAGCCTCAGTCCACCTCAGCTCAGCCTCATCCTGCTTCAGCCTGCACTCAGTCCTGCCTTCAGCCTCGGCCGCAGCCTCACTTGCCTCAGCCTCAGCCTCATCCGCATCAGCCTCGGCCTCAGCCTGCCTCAGCATCAGCCTCCTCAGCCTCAGCCTCAGCCTCAGCCTCAGCCTCCCTGCTTCAGCCTCAGCCTCAGTCTGCCTTCAGCCTCGGCCTCAGCCTCAGCCTGCATCAGCCTCAGCCTCAGCCTCAGCCTGCCTCAGCCTCAGCCTGCTTCAGCCTCAGCCTCAGCCTGCCTCAGCCTCAGCCTCAGCCTGCTTCAGCCTCAGCCTCAGTCTGCCTCCAGCCTCGGCCTCAGCCTCAGCCTGCCTCAGCCTCAGCCTGCATCAGCCTCAGCCTCAGCCTCAGCCTGCCTCAGCATCAGCCTGCCTCAGCCTCAGCCTCAGCCTGCCTCAGCCTCAGCCTCAGCCTGCTTCAGCCTCAGCCTCAGTCTGCCTTCAGCCTCGGCCTCAGCCTCAGCCTGCCTCAGCCTCAGCCTGCATCAGCCTCAGCCTCAGCAGCCTCCTCAGCCAGCCTGCCTCAGCCTCAGCCTGCCTGCCTCAGCATTCAAAATGTGGCCCGGGAATGGAGTTCTGGGAACTCGAAGAACACGAAGTGGCCTACAGTTGGCTCCGGACATTCAAAATCATGCCCAGGAATTGAGTTCTGGGAACTCGAAGGGCACGAAGTGGCCTACAGTTGGCTCCGGGCATTCAAAATCATGCCCAGGAATGGAATTCTGGGAACTCGAAGACCACGAAGTGGCCTACAGTTGGCTCCGGGCATTCAAAACCATGCCCAGCAATGGAGTTCTGGGAATTCGACGACCACGAAGTGGCCTACAGTTGGCTCCGGGCATTCAAAATCATGCCCAGGAACGGAGTTCTGGGACCTCGAAGACCACGAAGTGTGTAACTGTTTGCTTCAAACGACTTCCGCGGATTCTCCCCGGATCCTGCCCGGACCTCCCTGGGGAGTCATGATGCTCTCTTTTGAGACCACTAGAAACCTATCAGTCTTCGCTGCTAGGTAAAAAACACACAGACACAATTCATCGTCGATTCCCCAGAACACATGGGAAAATATGGGAAGTGGGGGGAATACAGGAACCCAGAAAGTATGGGAAAGTATGGGGAATCTGGTCATTTGTGCCTATGTATTCGTGTGTCCCAGCTCCCCTTCGGCAGGTGCTGAGGCGCATCGGCGCCCAGCCCCTGACCAGGTCCGAGGTCGGCCTGCTGGCCGTGGCACGGCCGGCGCAGCGCGCGGGGCCCACGGCGAGCGAGAGCGCCGCCAGCGAGCACCGGGCGGTCGCGCTGCACGGCACGGGCGGCCCGCCAGAGGCCCCGCCGGAGGCAGGGCCTCTGGCAGCGGTCGTGGCGGCCGACGCGTGAGCTCTCCAGCGCGGCCCCGAGCCGAGTTCCAATGCCAACACCATGCTAAGATGTGCCAGCAGAGGCACGGCATGGCGTGAGCCGCTCTTGAGCGTTGACTTCTAGACGCTTCGCGTATCCCCACCAGCCCGTCCAGAAATGAGCCCCAGGGGAGTGGAGGTGATGAGGGAAGCGGGGGAGCATGCAGAATAATAAAGGGCGGGTAAGCCGCCATATGCCCCAAGAGGGGGAGGATGTAGGAGGAGTCGTCGTCGTCGGAGTAGGAGGAGGAAGAGGAGGAGCAGGAGGAGGAGGAGCAGGAGGAGGGTTGGGAGGAGAGGAGATGGAGGAGGGAAGGGACGAGGAGGACGAGGAGGAGGAGGAGGAGGAGGAGGAGGAGGAGGAGGAGGAGGGGGGGGGAGGAGGAGAGGAGGAGGAGGATGTGGGGAGAGGGAGGGGGAGGAGGGAGGAGGAGAAAAAGAGGAGGAGGAGGAGGAGGACGAGGAGGAGGAGGAGGAGGAGGAGGAGGAGGGAGGAGGAGGAGGAGGAGGAGGAGGACAATGGCGAGCTTGGAGGCCCCTTGGGCCGTCTTTGGGGCCTCTTGGCGGTCCCGGGGGCCTCTCGCGTATCTCGGGGAGCCTCTTGGGGCCTCTTGGGATCTCTTGGGAGTCTCTTGGAGGCCTCTTGGGCGCCTCTTGGGGCGTCTTGGGGCTCTCTTGGGGCGCTCTTGGCAGCCTTCGGGCCGCTTTGGGGGCCATCTTGGACGAGATCTATCAAAGAAGGGGGGGTCGTCAATTAACCCTGCCCCTCTAGAGTGCCTCGAATCGCCTCTTGGGCCCCCCAAGAGGCCAAAATCCTTCCAAAACCTAGGGAAAATCAATGTTTTGTGCTTTCTCGCCTTTTCGCTCTTGGAGCCGGCTTGGGCCAGCTTGGACGCCCCAACGACCCGCGAAACCCTCCGTCCAGGTCCAGGGGAGGGGGTAGGGGGAGGGGTCAAGTTACCCCCTCCCCGCCCGCAAGCCGTCTCGCTCACTCCCACCCGCCCTCCCAACACATACGTAGCACCCGAGTCTGGCCCGAGCCTCAGCATATTCAGCAGTCGTCTTGGGATGGGCAGCTACTGGGGGCCAATCCGCCGCCGCCGCCTCCGCCGCTCCGCCGCCGCCGCCGCCGCCGCCTGCCGCCGCCGCCGCCGCCGCCGCCGCCGCCGCCGCCGCCGCCTGCCGCCGCCGCCGCCGCCGCTGCCTGCCAAACCGCCGCCGCGCCGCCGCCGCCGCCCGCCCGCCGCCGCCGCCGCCGCCGCCGCCGCCGCCGCCGCCGCCGCCGCCGCCGCCGCCGCCGCCGCGCCGCCGCCCCCGCCCCCGCGCGCCGCCGCCGCCGCCGCCGCGGCCGCGGCCGCCGCAGCCGCCGCCACCGCCGCCGCAGCCGCCGCAGCCGCTGCCGCCGCCAAGTGTACTCTGTATTGTGTTTTGACAGGGATGGTGGGGGGGGGGGCGCATCGGGTTGGCTGCGCATGTTCCGAACTTGGAGGCAAAGTGTGTTTTGTATTGTTTTTTACAAAGGATGGTGTGTGTGGGGGGGTCGGCATGGACCCTGGTTGGCCCCCAGTCGCCTGGGGGAGGGGGTGTTTATTAATAGGGAACAGTGATGAACCCCTCCCGGAAGGGGAAGAAGGGGGTTGGAAGAGGAAACTCTTTAGACCACAGACGCCCAGAAGGCTGGTGGGATTGGCCGTCTTGGACGCCTCGGGGGGGCGCGCGGGTTCACGCGCAGTTGTCCGTGCCTCGCCCCTCCCCTGCACCCCAGCTCTGGAGGGCCCAGTCGCCCCACCAGAGCGTCATCACTCGCACCGGAGCGTCTTTCCATCACCTGCGAGTGTCAGCCGAGTAGAAATAGGGGGAAATGGCGGAGGCCCAGCCGCCGGCGGGGGCAGAAGCCGCAGCGAGTGCGCGCCGCGGCTGAGTTGCGGTCAGGCGTTTCGCTGACGCCCATAGGCTGCTGGGATAGCCCTCCATGCGTATTGCCGCAGCCCCGCGCCCAGCCAGCCTGGCCGCGAAAAAGCAGCCCGCCAAGCGGCCTCGCGCGAAGCCAATGTAGGTGGCCTGCGTAGTTCTGTGCATCATAACTCATTTTCTTCACTTTCCACACGCTTTGCGTGAGTACATCTCTTGACACCAGCTGTCTACGTCAAGGCCCGCCACCTGTGCCAGCGCAGCACCGAAACGCACGCAGGATGATGCTACCGATCACGTGCGTCCCACGCGGTGCACGGGCCCTCTGGGAAATCATAGCGGCGAACCCAATGAGGGTCGCACGGATCCGATTTCCAACCTTACCGTAATCGTGAAATCGCGGCGGATCCCATTTCCGTGAACGCGGATCCAATTTCTGATCTTCGGGATCCGCGTCGGACCTGTTTTTTTTTACCGCGGATCCCATGTCTACCCCGCTTTGAATGTATTGATATGAAACTCGTTCCAGGAACCGACAAGAATGGGATCCGTCGACCGCAGTCCCCCCCCCCCGTGTTAAGATTCTACGGGGCACGGGGTTGGTCCTTTTCGACGCCAAGAGGAAAATCTTTCGTCCTGCGTAAGTATTGCCACCGTCTCGGTCAGAGGACTTCTCTCCGCTAGCAGGCCCCCCGCCCGTGCACGTTCTAATAGCTCCTTGCCACACCGTTTCACGCGGCATCTGGTTCAGCTGAGCGCTCAAGCGCATGGCGTCGCGCGTGCGACCAGCAGCATGCTGCAAGCCGACACCTATCCACGTTGTGGTGAAGGATGCCTTGGACTGCCAGCGTCGTCCGCACAAAGCTGAATTGTCTGCCGCACCGGTCGGATTCCTGTCGTTGTGCGACCCGGGAGCTGTTAATCAGCGACATGCGAGGTGGCGCCGACATCGAAAAAAACGCACCAACGATGTTGGGATACACCCTCTTTGAAGCTCCCTCGTCACATGCCCCATACAAGGGTTCTCTTCCTCCGAGGGACATGCCCCGTTGGGAGACAACCGCGTGGAAATCCTGAAGCGTGCCAAGACACCAATCTTAGGATTTCAACGCCACGAGTCAACCTGACTTTTGCGTCTTGACGATCCTGAAACCCGTCAAAGCACCATTCCTGGGACTTCAACACCGCGCATCAACGTAGCCGCGGTGCCCTGATCATCCAGAATTGTTCGAAAACACCATTGCTGGAAGGTTGACCACGCGAATCCGCGAAGCCCTCGTAATCTGTTTAACGACTGCGCGCGGCGCCAAGGCCAGAACCTTATTTTGAAGACGACTTGCTTTCAATCCGTGAAGCTCTTACACGTGTCGAAGAAGAGTGAATGCGCTCGGCGCTAAGGGGAAGAGCCACATTTTGAAAACGACCCGCCCTCAACCCGCTAAACTTGTTGTGTAATTTTGTGAAACGAATGCGCGCGCCGCTAAGGCGAGAGCCATATGTCGAAAACCACCCGCCCTCCATGTGTGAAACTGTTGCCAGCTTCTAAGCTTCAGGCTCACACGTGGTCAGGCAGTCTCAGGGGACGCGCCAGGCCCGCCTTTCCGACCTGCCCCGGGGTGCGACAGGAAGGGCTCTTCAGAAAGGAAGAGGAGTGGAGGATGGGAGGCAGGGCGCAGGCCAGAGGCGCGCGACGCGGCGGGGGCGGCTGACACACTTCAACCCGCCTGCGGGCGCGCAACCGCACCTGGGCGACACATTTCAACCCGCCCGCGGACGCGCAACCGCAACCGCAACTGGGCGCCACATTCCGACCCGCCCGCGGGCGCGCAACCGCAACCGCAACTGGGCGCCACATTTCGACCCGCACGCGGGCGCGCAACCGCAACCGCAACTGGGCGACACATTTCGACCCGCACGCGGGCGCGCAACCGCAACCGCAACTGGGCGACACATTTCGACCCGCCCGCGGGCGCGCAACCGCAACCGCAACTGGGCGACACATTTCAACCCGCCCGCGGGCGCGCAACCGCAACCGCAACTGGGCGCCACATTTTTCGCGCCCGCGGGCGCGCACTAGCAACCGCAACTGGGCGACACATTTCAACCCGCCCGCGGGCGCGCAACCGCAACCGCTACTGGGCGACGCATTTCAACCGCGCCGCCGCGCAACAGCAACCGCAATTGGGCGACCAATTTTAAACCGCCCGCGGGCGCGCAATCGCAACTGGGCGACGCATTTCGACCCGCCCGCGGGCGCGCAACCGCAACCGCAATTGGGCGACACATTTCGTCCCGCCCGCGGGCGCGCAACCGCAACCGCAACTGGGCGCCACAGTTCAACCCGCCCGCGGGCGCGCAACCGCAACCGCAATTGGGCGACACATTTCAACCCGCCCGTGGGCGCGCAACCGCAACTGGGCGACACATTTCAGCCCGCCCGCGGGCGCGCAACCGCAACCCCAACTGGGCGACACATTTCAACCCGCCCGCGGGCGCGCAACCGCAACCGCACCGGCCACCTGCCGCCATCCTCCAGGGGATCCGAGGCGGAGGAATGGCGGGAGAGAAGTGGGCGGGAGGGGGGAGGGAGGAGGCAGACGGGAGGGAGGAGGAAGTAGGGGGGAGGGAGGGGAGACGGAGGGAGGGTAGGGAGGTCACAATGATTGGGTGCGGACAAGATCTGCCCCCCCCCGTTCCACGCAAATGGATCTCCACAAGGCTCCAGACCCTGGATTCCGAGGCCTCCACGGTCTGCTAGCGGGATGGGTGGGTTAAGCGCCCCCGAGGGGGCAGACGGGGCTTTAACAGAAGCGGTCCGTTGCGCCGCCTACTTTGAAGTTGGAGTGGCGATGCCGCGGGGATCGATTGCGCGTTCACCCGCGCGCAAACTGCCCGCGGGAGTAGGTGCATCGGCGCAGTCTTATTCATGCAGTCTGCCGCGTCTTATTCCTTATCTGGTGCAGGAGCAGGTGGAAGAGGAGGGGGAGGAGGACGAGGAGGAGGAGGAGGTAACGGAGGAGGGGCAGCAGGACGAGGAGGAGGAGGAGGAGGACGACGAACAGGAGGAAAAGGAGGAGGAGGAGGAGGAGGAGGACGACGACGAGGACGAGGACGAGGACGAGGACGATGTGGGGGATGCCAGGGTGGTGCTGCTTGAGAAGGTGGGTGCACGAGCAGGTGCTTGATGCGGATGACGGAGGAAGATGAGGTGGTGGACGTCAAGGAGGATATGAGCGTGGAGGTGGATGTCCTCCTCGCGGCTTCCGGGCGTGACCCGCGGTTCTCCGCCGGGACATTGCAGCGGGGAGTCCCCGTTCCACGCTGCTGCCGCTGATTTTCCTTGCGCAGGCTGCGAGGGCGCCAAACAGGCGCCTGGAGCGTCAGGCACCCGCCGTTCTCCGCGGGGAAGGCAAGGCCATGCAACGCGACAGTCGCCGAGAGACGAGGGCGAAGCGAGGACAATCAAACTGACCAGATGACCTGAACACACAGGAAGAGGGGGTGGGCCTCCCTCCCTCCCTCCTCCCCCTCTTTTCTCCTCCTGGTTGTCCTTCGCTTCTCCGCCCGGGCCCTCCCGAGGAGTTCATCGACTACGTGGAGGACTCCGCCCGCGGCCGACGCCAGGGCCCGAGCGGGCGGGGGGGCGGAGGGCGAGGAAGAGAGTTCCGCGAGGATGGGGGATTGGGGGCCCAGACCCCTCGCGGGGGCCCCCGCCGGGCCGGGGGATCGTCAGAAATTGGTCCGGATGAAAAGCCCGTCCTTGGGATTGGGCCGAGACCTCTGGGGGTCTACGCTGGTCTGGGGGGATGGAGGATGGGGGATGGGGATTGATTGAGCTAGAGCGCTCCGAGCAGATGGATATAGGGGATCGAGGATCGATCGAGGAAGAGAAGTTCCAGAGTACGTTTTTGATTCTTTTGGGCCTCTTGCGGCGGTTCCAGATCCCCCCTGATATGATGGCCAACGCGCACCCCACAACATTCTCGAGGGCGGCTTCTGAGCGCCGAAGCGGAGACCCCTCGTGACTTGAACAAGCGTCGCGCTGGTGTATGCATGCGTATGTATGTATGTATGTATGTATGTATGTATGTATGTATGTATGTAAGGATGCACGCATGTATTTTCTTGCCCTTTCGGGTGAGCGTCCCTGCTGCCTTGTGACTAGTGGCTTCTACGTCTCTTCTTTGGTCGCCACCCTCGCTCTCCTCCTATCTTCTGTTTTCATCCGCGTTGGTCTCTTTCGCCCTCGTCCCTGTTCTTCGTATGCTGCGTCCCTCTGCAGCTCCTGCTACAGACCCTACTGCAATCAATGGTAAAGCTTCCAGTGCAACTCTCCTACGACAATCCGTATTGTAGCCAGTAGTACATCTTGTACTCCTGTTCGCAATGCAGCTCCTACCAACGCTTTTGATATAGATCGTGCTGCTGTGTCTTGTGCAGCTCTTTTAAACCCCAAACTGCACTTACACGATAATTTCTACTACAAGCATGAACGCAGCACCTCTTACAACTCATACGGCAGCTCCCTTTAAAATCAAGAGCAGCTTCCAGTAAAGATCACAGTGCAGCTCCAGCTTTAATCCGTATCACAAGCAGTCGTCCAACTCCCGCACCTCAAACTACAGGTTCTACCACAACTATGAAAGAGCGCGCACGCAGCGCTGGTGCAAAGGGAGCCCCCCTTTCGCTACCTCCCCTCCTGGACACATCCTGCCCGAAGTCCCCCCCCCCTCCTCACCCTCTTTTTTCCGCCCCTCGGAAGCTATCCCCCCCCCCCCTCCCTTCACGCTCCGGAAGCTCCCCGCCCTCCCCCCGTTCTAAAGGGGGGGGGGCTTAGAACCCCCCCCCTCCCTTTTGGACCTTTGTTCCGCCCAGCGGAAGCTACCCCCCCCTTTCGCGCTCCGGAAGCTACCCCCCCCTTTCCCCTCTTTCCAAAACGTGGGGGGGGCTTAGCACCCCCCTCCCTCCCTTGGCATCCTTCCTGTCGGAAGCCCACCCCCCTCCCCCTTTTCTGCTAAAGGGGGGGGGGGCTTGGAAGCCCCCCCCCCTTCTCATGGCTAAAGCAACGGGTGCTGAAAACCAAAGAGCGCCGAAAGCCACAGAGCGCCGAAAACCGAAGGGCCACCGAAAACCAAAAGAGCACCGAAAACCGAAAGGGCGCCGAAAACCAAAGATACGTCAAAATCCGAAAGGGCGCCGAAAACCGAAGGGGCGCCAAAAACCAAAAGGCGCCGAAAACCAAAGGGGCACCGAACACCAAAAGGGCGCCGACAACCACAGGGGCGCCGAAAATCAAAGGGGCGCAGAAAACCAAAAGGCACCGAAAACCACAACGCCGACCTGCAAAGAGGCGCCGAACACCAAACAGGGCGCTGGAAGCCAACGGGGCTCCGAAAACCAAAGATGCCCCGAAGACCAAGAGAGCGCCGAGAAAACCAACGACGCGCCGAAAACCGAAAGGGCGCCGAAAACCAAAGAAGCGCAGAAAAACAAAAGGGCGCCGAAAACCAAAAGTGCGCCGAAAACCAAAGGGGCACCGAAAACCAATACGTCTCCGAAAACCACAGGGTCGCCGACAACCGAAAGGGCACCGAAAGAAACCAAGAGGGGCGCTGACAACCAAAGGTGCGCCGAAAACAAAGGGGCGCCGAACACCAAAAGGGGACCCGAAAACCAAAGGGGTGCCGGCAGAAACCAGGGGACGCCGAAAACCAACATAGCGCCGAACAAAAGCAAAGACAGCGCCGAGAACCCAAGGGGCGCCGAACACACAAAGTGGGGCACCGAAAACCAACAGAGTGCTGAAAACCGAAAGGGTACCGAAAACCAACGACGCGCCGAAAACCAGAAGGGCGCCGAGCACCAAGACGTCGCCGAAAACCCAGGGAGGGCGCCGAAAACCAAAGTGGCGACGAAACTCAAAGAGGCGCCGAAACCAAGAGGGCGCCGAAAACCCAAGGGGCGTCGAACACCAAAGAGCGCCGAAAACCCATAGGACGCCGAGAACCAAAGGGGCGCCGAAAACCCATAGGACGCCGAGAACCAAAGGGGCGCCGAAAACCAAAGGGGCGCCGAACAACAAAAGGGCGCCAAGAACGAAAGAGCAAAGAAAACCAAAGCAGCGCCACCAAAAAGGGCGCCGACTACGGAAGGGACGGCGAAAATCAAAGAAGCGCCGAAAACCAAAAGGGTGCCGAAAACCAAAAGAGCACCGACAACCAAAAGGGTGCCGAAAACCAAAAGGGCGCCGAAAACCAAAAGGGACCCGAAATCCAAAGGGGGGCCGAAACCCAAAGGATCACCGACAACCACAAGGACACCGAAAACAAAAAGGTCACCGAAAACTAAAAGGCGCCGAAAACCAAAGGAGCGCCGACAACCAAAGGGGCGCAGAAAACCAGAAGGGCGCCAAACACCAAAGAGGCGCCTAAAACCAAAGGTTCGCCGAACACAACAAAGGGCGCCGAAGACCAAAAGAGCGCAGAAAAAAACGCAGGCGGCGCCGAACATCCAAGGGGCTCCGAACGCACAAAAGGGGCGCCGACGACGACGACGACGACACGGCACGACGGCGTCGGCGCCGACAGCGAAGACAACAACGACGACGAGGACGGGAAGATGACGACGACGAGGACGAGCACGACGCCGACGCCGACGCCGAGCACGACGCCGACGCCGACGACAACGACGACGACTACGCCGACGACTCCGAGCACGACGCCGAGCATGATGCCGCCGACGTCGACGCCGACGCCGACGACGAGCACGACGCCGAGCACGACGCCGAGCACGACGCCGAGCACGACGCCGAATACGACGCCGACGGCGGCGCCGACGCCGACGCCGACGCCGATGCCGACGACGACGACGCCGCCGACACCCAGGCCGACGACGAGCACGACGCCGACCGCGACGCCGACGCCGACGTCGACGACGATGCCGACGACGACGACGACGCCGCCGACGCCGACGCCGACGCCGACGACGACGACGGAGACGCCGACGCCGACAACGACGCCGAGCACGATGCCGACGCCGACGCCCGCGCTGGCGACGACGACGACGCCCAGCACGAGGCCGACTACGACGCCGAGCATGACGCCGAGCACGACGCTGACGACGAAGCCGACGCTGGCGCCGACGCCGACGCCGACGCCGACGAAGAGCACGACGCCGAGCACGGCTCCGAGCACGACGCCGACGCCGACGACGACGATGACGACGACGGCGACGCCGAAAGGCGACGCCACCGACGACGCCGAAGCCGACGCCGACAACGACGCCGAGCACGGTGCCGCAGATGCCGAGCACGACGCCGAGCACGACGACGACGACGCCGAGCCCGATGCCGAGGACGACGCCGACAACGATGCCGACGCCGACGACGACGCCGACGCCGACGCCGATGCAGACGACGACGATGCCAACGCACACCGACGACAAGCACGACCCCGAGCACGACTCCGAGCACGAGACGTCGAGCACGACGCCGACGACGCCGACGACGACGTCGAGCACGACGCCGACGCCGACGCCGAAGCCGGCGACCATGACGACGATGACGAAGTCGCCGAGCACGACGGCGAGCACGATGCCGAGCACGACGCCGCCGACGCTGATGCCGACGACGCCGACGACGCCGACGACACCGAGCACGACGCCGAGCACGACGCCGAGCACGACGCCGACAACGACGCCGACGCCGGTGCCGACGCCGACGCCGACGCCGATGCCGACGACGACGACGACGACGACGTCGACGACGACGACCACGACGCCCGGCGCCGACACCGACGCCGACGTCGACGCCGACCCTGGCGCCGATTCCGACACAGACACCGACGCCGACGACAACAACGCCGAGCACGACGCCGACGCCGAGCACGACGCTGTCGTCCTCGCCCCCCCTCCCACCCCCCCGGATTTTCGAATTATGGGCGGACCCTACAAGCGACCACAGAAAGCGCCCTTTCATATACATATATATATATATAAATATACAGTCACATGTATGATATATGCTGCTTGGTCTATGACATACGATATTTGATAAATGGTCTAGGATAGATGCTACGGGTTACACGACACTATATGTATGTTTGTATGCATGTATGCATGTACTTATGGGTGCCTGCATATATACATACACTTGTGCACTTGTACACATGCACATGTGTACATATGTACACAGGTATGTACAGTACATCTGCATGCAGCAATGTATCTCCACAGCTGTACACACATACTTACCTTGGAGGTCCTGACCCCGTGGCACCAGAGCTGGGGTCCGCTTGTACAGAGCGGCCTCCGCCCTCCCCGAGGGCTCCTCGGGCGGCCTTCGGAGTTCCGAGACGGCCCCAGGGCGCCCCACGACCTGCCCCACGACCTGCCCCACGACCTGCCAAGATAGTCTCCAGACTCCAGACTGGCCAGGGCACCTCTAGGAAGCGCCTCGAGAGCCCCAGGAGCGTTCCGAGACAGCCCGAAACAGTTTCAAGACGGCCAACACGCCGTCTGTAAATAGCATTCGCACAAGAAATAAGCAGCCGAAAGAAATAGTAATTCCCCGAACAGCGCTTGCACTTAGGGGCTCCTGCTTCTCTCCTAAGAAACTGGGCCTGTGTGGCCGGCTTGTGGTGACATGTCGCCGCCTGTCGTCGCCATCCGTGTGGGCTTGTGCTGTGCCAGTCGTGAATCGGATATGGCCAAGACCCCGGGTAAGGGGACCCGGTAAGTGGTAGGGCCCTGGAGCCTTCGAATTGGCCAGATTCACTAAACCAGGTTTGCCGTAATTGTAGTTTTTCGGGTGACGGCAGTTCCGGTTAGTGGAAATGGGGCGGGGGGGCGCCCCCGGTACAAATCACTAAGCCGGGTTCCACTAAACCCAGTTCTGCCAACGCCCGAATGAGCACAACACCAAGTAGAATGCTGGCCATGAGCTGCGCCACATAGCTTACATCATCTGTGTTGCACCACGTAGTGTGCACCACATGCGTTCTCTCTGCCGCCTCCCTGGGTTCATCGCACCCCCTTGGGGTCTACGATTTTCACATGAGTTTGCCTCATCATTCATGCTCGCATGATTTTAGATCATCCCAGGAAGTGCCGTTATCACCCCCACTTCATCCTTGTCAAATCACACTATGCGCGCTTTCGTTCACCATAAAAATCAATTTCCATTTACACCTGGTGAAGAAACGTGATCAAGTCCACATGCGCTTGTCGTCGCGCACGCATGTCAACTCGTTTCAAAACTTTCAGTTTAGCGAGGCTTTCAAGATCGAGGTTTTTGAAAGCATTTAAAAGTATTCCCCAAACAGTGCTTGCACTTAGGGGTTCTTACTTGGCTTAACCATCTCGGAGTGATTGGCGGCTTTTGCGGGCGGTGCCGCCCGTCGCCGCCGTCGCCGCCGTCGCCGTCGCCGTCGCTCGGGGCGAATAGCGGTTTTTTCGGGCGGTGCCGCCCGTCGCCGTCGCATAGATTGCACCGCCTAGGCTGCACCACATAGATTGCACCGCGTAGACTGCATTGCGTAGGTTGCACCGCGTAGATTGCACTACATAGATTCTCCTTTCTAAAAGACTAATAGATTCTACCCCCCCCCCCCGGACTTATCGGTTACCCCGCGCGTGCTGTAAATTACATATGATTCTGACCACATGTCCATCCTGAGTATGAATTCATACCATCCCAGCCAGGCCGGGTTCCCCCCCCCCTGCGGTTCCCTTGTAAAAAACACTATGCGGTGACATTTTTTGTTCCAGCATAACACTTTTTCACGAATCCCTTGCAAACAATTTGACGAAGTGCACACGCGCGCGTCGTGGCGCGCGCATGCCGAAATCCTTCAAAAACCTTCGGTTCCGGAGAGATTTCAACATTGAATTTCCAAAACACATACGAAAATACATAGTTTCGCAACACTGATTCAAAGAAAAACTTACGCGCGAGCTCTTGCGAAATCTTAAGAAAACCAATAGGGTTTCCAAGATTTTCACAAAATGCTACCAAACGGGCTTCGCGCGCGCGCATGTCGAAATCTATCGAACGCTCTTGCGCGTGTGCCGTCGCGAGAATCCTCTGCAAAAAATGAGACGAAGTGCAGACGCGCGCGTCGTCGCGGGCGTATGCCGAAATCCTTCAGAAACCTTCGGTTTCGGAAGAATTTCGAAATCGTGCGTCCCAAAAACCTACAAAAACACAAGGTTTCGCAACACGGGTTTTCAACAAAATTGTGCGCGCGCGCTCTTGCGTCGTCGTCGTCGTCGTCGTCCTCCCTCCTCCCTCGTCGTCGTCGTCGTCGTCGTCGTCGTCGTCTTCTGTCTTTCCTCGTCGTCTTTGGCGTCGTCGTCGTTTCCGTCGTCGTTGTCGCCGTGGTCGTCCTTCCTCCCTCGTTGTCTTCGTCGGCGTCTCGTCGTTGTCCCTCCTATTTCGTCGCCGTCGTCGTCGTCGTCGTCGTCGTCGTCGTCGTCACTCCTCCCTCGTCGTCGTATCCTCCCTCGTCGTCGTCGTCCGTCGTCGGCGTCTCGTCGTCGTCCCTCCTATTTCGTCGCCGTCGTCGTCGTCTTCGTCGTCGTTGTCATCGTCGTCGTCTTCCCTCCTCCCTCGTCGTTGTCGTCGTCGGCGTCGCCGTCCTTCCTCCTTCTTCGTCGTTGGCGTCGTCGCCGTCTTCCCTCCTCCATCGTCGTTGTCGTCGTTGTCGCCGTCGTCGTTTTTTCTCCTCCCTCGTCGTCGTCTCCGTTGGCGACGTCGTCGTCGTCTTCGTCGTCGTCGTCGGCGTCGTTGTCGTCGTCGTCGGTGTCGTCGTCGTCGTGTCGTCGTCGGAAACATTGGAGACGTCGTCGGTGTCGTCGCAGTCGCTGTCGGCGGCGCCGTCGTCGTCGATGTCGCTGTCGTCGTCGGCATCGGTGTCGTGGCCAAGTGCCACGCAGTACCTACCGTCACGGTCTTGTCTGAAGATGTCTTGCGACCAAGTTGCGGGTGGGAGGGTGGGATGTTTGCACGAGCAGTGGAGAGGACAGCTTCAAGACAGTCGAAGTGGATTGCACCACGTAGATTGCCCCGCATATATTGCATTACATGGATTCTCCTTTCTAAAAAACTAATAGATTCTACCCCCCCCCCCCCCGGACTTATCGGTTACCCCGCGCGTGCTGTAAATTACATATGATTCTGACCACATGTCCATCCTGAATATGAATTCATACCATCCCAGCCAGGCCGGGTTCCCCCCCCCTGCGGTTCCCTGGTAAAAAAACACTATGCGGTGACATTTTTTGTTCTAACATAGCACTTTTTCGCGAGTCCCTTGCAAAAAAATTGACGAAGTGCACACGCGCGCGTCGTGGCGCGCGCATGCCGAAATCCTTCAAAAACCTCCGGTTCCGGAGAGATTTCAAAATTGAATTTCCAAAAAACATATAAAAACACATGGTTTCGCAACACTGATTCAAAAAAAAAAAAATTACGCGCGAGCTCTTGCGAAATCTTAAGAAAACCATAGGTTTTCCAAAATTTTCACAAAATGCTACCAAACGGGCTTCGCGCGCGCGCATGTCGAAATCTGTCGAACGCTCTTGCGCGTGTGCCGTCTCGAGAATCCTCTGCAAAAAATGGGACGAAGTGCAGACGCGCGCGTCGTCGCGGGCGTATGCCGAAATCCTTCAAAAACCTTCGGTTTCGGACGAATTTCGAAATCGTGCGTCCCAAAAACCAACAAAAACACAAGGTTTCGCAACACGGGTTTTCAACAAAATTGTGCGCGCGCGCTGTTGCGTTGTCGTCGTCGTCGTCGTCCTCCCTCCTCCCTCGTCGTCGTCGTCGTCGTCGTCGCCGTCGTCGTCTTCTGTCTTTCCTCGTCGTCTTTGGCGTCGTCGTCGTTTCCGTCGTCGTTGTCGCCGTGGTCGTCCTTCCTCCCTCGTTGTCTTCGTCGGCGTCTCGTCGTTGTCCCTCCTATTTCGTCGCCGTCGTCGTCGTCGTCGTCGTCGTCGTCTTCACTCCTCCCTCGTCGTTATCCTCCTCCCTCGTCGTCGTCGTCCGTCGTCGGCGTCTCGTCGTCGTCCCTCCTATTTCGTCGCCGTCGTCGTCGTCTTCGTCGTCGTTGTCATCGTCGTCGTCTTCCCTCCTCCCTCGTCGTTGTCGTCGTCGGCGTCGCCGTCCTTCCTCCTTCTTCGTCGTTGGCGTCGTCGCCGTCTTCCCTCCTCCATCGTCGTTGTCGTCGTTGTCGCCGTCGTCGTTTTTTCTCCTCCCTCGTCGTCGTCTCCGTTGGCGACGTCGTCGTCGTCTTCGTCGTCGTCGTCGGCGTCGTTGTCGTCGTCGTCGGTGTCGTCGTCGTCGTGTCGTCGTCGAAAACATTGGAGACGTCGTCGGTGTCGTCGCAGTCGCTGTCGGCGGCGCCGTCGTCGTCGATGTCGCTGTCGTCGTCGGCATCGGTGTCGTGGCCAAGTGCCACGCAGTACCTACCGTGACGGTCTTGTCTGAAGATGTCTTGCGACCAAGTTGCGGGTGGGAGGGTGGGATGTTTGCACGAGCAGTGGAGAGGACAGCTTCAAGACAGTCGAAGTGGGTTGCACCTCGTAGATTGCGCCACGTAGATTGCAAGCCATTTATGCCGTAGGGGTGGCGTTCGCACCAGGCCGCCGGTGTGCTTGCGCGCCCTTGCTTTCAGGCTCCAGTATTTGCGTGCGACGCCATGGCGTGTCGAGGAAGCAACTCCGGTCGCCGCCACACGAGATTGCGCGAGGAAATCTCCGAGCGGCGGATCACGACGCTTCGACCAGACGTGTTCCGCATCGTGACGCCCGCGCGCGTGCTCGAGAACTTTGGGGCGGTCTTCGAGGGCTCGCAGTCCGCGACCTTCAAGCTCTCGGAGGACGGGCCCGACGCAGTGCGGAGCGACGACAGCGCAGTGCCCTTGCGGGAGTCGCAGCTCAGCGACGCCGACGCCGTCTTCTACGCCACGCAGGTCGCGACGTCCGTGGACGCTTTCCTATCGCACGCCTGGGGCGCGCCTCGCTGGCAGAAGGCCCTCGCCGTGTACTATTACCTCAACGTGAACTTTGCCATCGTCGTGTCTGTCGGCGCCTGGCTCTGCGCGGCGGCGTGGCTGATCGGCTCGAACGGCTTCACGGGCATGGGCGGGTGGGACCTCGTGCCCTTCCTCGTCTACGCGCCCGTGTGCCTCTTCTTCGTGTGCCTCTTCTGCGGCCACCACGTGCGGGCGTCGGTCTCGAGCCTGTGGCTGGACAAGCTCTGCATCCACCAGCTCAACCCCGAGCTCAGGCTCCTCGGCGTCTCGAGCCTCCCGGAGGTCGTGGGCGCGGCGGAGCGGCTCTGCGTCCTCTGGAGCGACACGTATTTCGAGCGGCTGTGGTGCAACGCGGAGGTCGCCACCTTCTGCGCCCTGCGCGGCGGCGCTGAGCAGGTGGACTTTGTGCCGCTCTGGCTGCCGCCCTGGGTGCTCCTCGCCATCCTCCTCGACCTCGTCTGCTCCTCGCTCTGCGCGCGCATGAGCTTCGTGGCCCCGGTGATCGGGGAGATGCTCATGGATCGGCTCGGCGCTGAGCTCTGGGTGCTCTGCCTGGTGGCCGTCTGCGCGTGCGTGCTGCAGCACACGGTGGGCTACCTGCCGCTCGTGCTGCCCAATTATTTTGCCCTCACCACCAAGCTCCGAGAGCACCAGGGCATGCTCGGCCAGCTCCGCGACTTCCGGCACGCCAGCGCGAAGTGCACGGTGGAGAGCGACCGGCCGAAGGTGGTTGAGCACATCTGCGGCCTCTTCGGCGAGGACGGCGACGACAGCGAGCAGGCGGTGCGCCGCTTCGACGAGTTCATGGGCAGCGAGCTCGCGACCAGCATCCGCGCGCAGGTTGGGGCCGCGAACGTGCTGCCGCTGCGGGAGGCATTCCTCGTCGTCATGCCGCTCGTCTACACGGCGGTCGCCATCGTTCTCGCCTGCGACGGCCAGGCCTGCGCGGACTCTGCGCGGCTGGAGATGCCGCCGCCGCCGCCGTGGCTGGGGGCCGTGCCGGCCTACATGCTCGTGAACGGGGGTTCCTACGCCCTCGCATGCCTCGCCACGTATCCCGCGACCTACCCGTCGATGCTCCTCCTCGTCGCCAGGGCGCAGACGCTAGGCTGGCCGCGGCTGCGGGCTGCGGCGACGGTGGGGGCGATCATTCTCTGCTACTGCTTGATGGGCGTGGGCATCGGCGTCAGCTGCGGCTTCGTGCTCTTCGCGGTGGAGTGCGGTGGATGGTTCATCGCCGCGGCAGGCCTGTGGGCGTTGCTGTTGGTGGCGTACTTGCTTTGGGTAACGGGCTTCAAGCTCAGGATGCGGTCCGCGTAAACCCTAGAGCAGCCACCCAACGTGGTGCAGAGTTTGTTACGAGATGCTCATCTTTCGAGATGCTGGGTTTTGCTGGTCTATTGCCGGCCGTCTTCCCTGATTGTATGATTGAACGTTTTTGTATTCAAGACGTTCGGTTGGGGACGGCATGCCCTTCTTGTCAGCAGTAATGCCATCGATGCAGGTATCGCATATGTCATCGCCGCAGTTCATAACGATTCATTTTCCAATACGTGGCCGTCCAGACATTCTTCTGGCAGGATGCGCGATATCTGGTATCAAGGCGTGACGTAAATGAATCCGGGGGAGCTGCACGTTCGAACCAGCCAGTGGGTACGGCATGCTCTCGCGTTACAGCAACTCTGCATGCGACAGCAGACTCTAACCGTGGGAGGGATCTTATCCTCGGCTCGTTTTACCTCGTCTGCCCTGGACATAGTGCCGAGGGGCCCGTGAGCGCGCACCTGCGCTTCGCTTCGAAGCTACCTGCAGGTGTAAGTTGAGCTCACGGTTAACTGTCTGAGCGAGTAGTGTATAGCATACACGCACGTGCATGGATCATTGGATCTCCAAGTGTTTGGGATGATTGCACGAGGATCGCACGGTCCTCCTCCTCCGCACCCTCAAATGGGCGGCCACACACCCCATCTCAAGAGGCTGGCGCGATTGGTCCGCGCGTCGTGCGCTGAGCGGCACACCTTGGATGGCTGCTCCGAGGCATGCCTCAGATGTAGGCTGCGGCCGCCCAACGGCCACTGCCAGACAAAGACCTCGAGGCGTTGCGAATAAGGAAAAGACATAGACTGCACTGCATAGATTGCACCGCATAGATGGCATGGCATAGGTTGCATCGCGTAAATTGCACCGCATAGATGGCACCGCATAGACTGCATTGCATAGGTCGCACCGCGTAGATTGCACCACATAGATTGCGCAGCATAGATTGCACCGCATAGACTGCATCACATAGATTCTCCATTCTCCCTTCTAAAGAGAGAATAGACTCTACCCCCTCCCGGCGCTATCCGATCCCCTTTCGGGTATGTAGAGCATATATGATTCTGACCACATGTCCATCCTAAATCTGAATCTACATTATCCCAGGGGAACCGGGATCGGCCCCCCTGAGGTTCCCTTGTAAAAAACGATACGCGGGGACATGTATTGTTCTGACATCGCACTTTGTCACGAATCTCTCGCAAAACACGGGACGAAGTGCACACGCGCGCGTCGTCGCGCGCGCATGCCGAAATCCTCCAAAAACCTTCGGTGTCGGAAGCATTTCGCAATCGAGTTTCCCCCCAAAAAACATCCAAAAACACCGGGTGCGGCGGCAACAGTTGCCGGGTGGACGCGCTCCACGCCTGGGGGACTTGCCGGAGCAGCCCTCTCGGCGTGCTCTGGCGTCCTGCGCGCGGGCGGGCGCCTTGCCCTTTTCGCCGCCGGGGCAGGCGGGGGGGCGTCGGGCGTTGTCGCGCGTGTGGTGTCGTCCCAGGGGGTACCGAGGCCCAGCACCCACACCAGGCATGCCCAGAACGTGTTGTAGACCAGGCTGCTAGCGCGTCCACGCCGATGGCCACGTCGTGGAGGAAGCCGAGGTGGGACCAGGCCTTCCGGTCAAGGCTGCCAGGGTCCCTGGGGGTGTCCGCCAGGGAGAACTCGCGGGAGTGGAGTCCAGAGACTAGGTAGAGGACCACTGCGAACGCAGGCGCCGAGACGAGGTTGTTCATGGCGTCCTGGATGGACCTTCCCATGGCTGCCCAGTTGAAGTCCGACTCGAGCGGCGCCTCGACTCTGTCGGCGAAGCTGTTGGCCAGGGACTCACGGGCCCGCTTGATGGCGCCGTCGATCTCCTTTGTCGCGTCGTGCCTGTCGGCGTTGCCTGACCAGGAGACGGGGGTGGTGACCCAGGTCGCGAGGTCTCGGACCGGGTCGAAGCTCGTGTCTGGTTCCAGGAGATGGCTGTTGTCTGGGGTGCGGTTCTTTTGGAACCTGACCCAGAGGTTGGTGAGACTCCCGTACTCCGACAGCACCCGAAGTCTCGATGAGGTGGCGCTTGCGAACATCCGCCCGTCGCCGATCACTATGACGAACTGGGTGGCCCTGGTGATCGCAACGTTGACCCTGTTGGCGTCGTCGATGAAGCCCCAGTTGTGGCTCCCGTTGGATCTGGTGGTGAGGAAGATCACGATGTCGGCCTCGCCGCCCTGGCTGGAGTCGATCGTGGCTAGCTTGAGGGTGCCCTTCCTGAGGTGCTGGTGGGCGACACGACAGATCCCAGGGAAACACAGACCGATTCCAGTCCGCTCGCAATCGTGTTGGTCGAAGACCCGCTCCCAGCCGTGGGTGTCGACAGGTCGGTCTTCAACCTCATTCGACCCAGCGCTCGGTGCTGGGGAACGACTGCGGTCGATCCTGGTGCCTTCGTCTCCTTTGCGCTTGCCGCCCTTGTTCTTGCCTTTCCCGCCACGGGAGTGGCGGATGACACCTGTGATGTTATTTGGGCTTTGCGGCCACCCGTCCTCCAGGATCGCTGTCTGCAGGTGGTACCCGACCAGGCGCACTGATATCCCTTTATCGAGGGCGGGTAGCAGGGCGCGAACGATGTCGACTGCCAGGGCCGCTTCAGGGAGGTTCGCGTAGCCGGCGTGTATGCCGGACCTGACTTCCAGGCAGGGGTTGTCGATCAGCAGGAAGCAGTGCCTGTCGTCCGGGTCTGCGGAGGTGGGGTGTAGCGGAGCGAGGGTTTTTTCGAGGTCGTCTTTATCTGAGCTCGTGAATCTGGCCAGCTCATCTAGCCGGTCCTTGTCCCAGGGTCTGATTGCGCGCCAGGGAAGACCTTCGACCAGGGGACGAACAGCGATGGGCTTGTTGAGCCCGCTGGTCATGCAGCTGTTGTAGAAAGCCCAGCTCGGCCAGGCGAGGAGTTGCGGGTGCATTCTGTAGCACACTGTGAGCTGAATGACGGCTGAGTCCTGTCCCCGGTAGGGCGTGGAGGAGCCGGTCGAAGATGCTGACGCAGAGGCCCAGATCGGCAGCCAACCTGGAAAGGACCGTGGGGGGTAGCTGCCTGGGATCCCCCACTGGTACCAGGTGGCCACCGTTAACGGTTGCGGACCCGGTTGACCAGGGACGTGGTCGAGTGGAGCTCAGTGGTCTGGCCCGCCTCCTCGATGGCCCAGAGGGCGCGCGAGCTGGTTTTTGGGGCACCCGCCGAGGGCCTCTCTGCCGCGCTTCGTGTGGGGGGACGATCACTTTCGCCTTGTGGATAAAGGGCGGTGCGGCATTGCGTGAAGTCACGAGCAGGGCCCTCGGAGAAGTGGAAGTTTCGGGGGAGCGTAAGACCCGGATTTGCCAGGACTCGGGTTCGCCCTCGTTTTTTGACGACCGCGCCTCGGATTTTGACGAGGAGGAGTTTCGTGGGATGTCTGCAGCGGGAGGCCTCGTCAAAATGCAGGCTCGGCCTCGTCATTTTTTTGACGACCTCGTCGAGGGTTTCCGAGTCCCTTGTACCCAGGTCTTACGTCCCCCTGAAAGTTGCCCGTGGCGTTCTGGTAGTGCCCTTCCGGGGTTCGGCAAATCAGCTCTTCGTCGACCTATTCTCTCTCCTGGCGAGCCGAATGGACCGGTCTGGGAAGCAGGTGTGGGTGTCTAGCTGGTTCATGCGGTGTGCCGCCGCCATGGCGAGCGCGGGTTGGTCTGCTACGGTGTTCGATAAAGCTGCCAGTGCGACTGCTTGCCCGCTTCTGAGGGTGCCCCCCCAGTTGTCGAGCGTGGCGGTGGACAGCTTGGTCTTACCTGTGCCAGGCGGACCGTGGACGACGGTGGCCCGCAGCGCGCGTCTGGCGTCCGGGTTGAGACCGTGTCTATCTGCTCCTAGTTCCAGGGTCTCCGACGGGGGTCTCGCTTTGGCCCTTTGGAAGACATGGCCCACGGCTGAGATCACCTCCTCGTCGGTGAAAGGGGTAACCTCCAGGGGTGGGGGCGCCGGGAACTGTGGCTTGTCGACCGTTCGTAGGGCTTCGATTTCGGCATCTGGGACGGGGGCGTCAAGCGTGGCGGGCGCTCTTGCCCTCAGGTAGTGGCCAACCCTGCCTGTCCTGGTAGCGTCGTCGGCGGCGGCCTCGTCGTCCTTGGATGCGTTGCGGAAGGTCAGCAGGAAGGTGACGTTGGGGAGCGGGATTCCGAAGATGTCTTCGGGGTTCTGGTTCAGGTAGTGGATGTCGCTGATGGCATTTGCTTGCCTCCAGAATTGTACCTCGGATGGGGCAGGGTCAATCCTGTAGTAGGCGTCGCCGTAGTTCTCCGGCCGTGCAGCCCTTGAGGTGTCTTCGTGGAACGGGCCGTACTTCTTGTGGTTGTAGGACACTATGCACCTGTTGGATGGGTATCTGGTGTCCAGGGGGACCCCCAGGGTCTCGCGTTCCCGTTGCGGAACGTTGCCTCCCAGGGCTGGCGGCCACCAGATCGTGACTTCTGCGACTTGGTCGACCGTGGGGCCCTGCACCGAGACCAGGGGGTTTTTGGCGTCCTGCGACCCTCCTTCACCTTTCATACAGATGTGGTAGCTGGGCGGCCAGTCGAGGAGGAGGAGCTCCTTGCCCTCGCCAGTCCACAGGCTGCGTCTCAGGTCGAAGCGATCCAGGTCGCGGCAGTCGCTGTCGGAATGGAGCACGGTGACCCGTACTCCGAGGGCGACGTTGCCTTTCCTCGCGAGCTCGTCCCTGGTCCTGGGGGCCCCGTCGTACGAGATTTCCAGGGGCGCCCTCCCCTCGATCCAGGCGATCCGCTTCAGCGTGAGGCCGCGGTCCCTCAGGGCGTTGGGCCACTGGGAAGGGAGTGGCACGGCCTCGCTGAGGTTTTCCAGCGGGACTGCGGGGTGCAGGCGGGCCTGGCTGAGGCTGCTGGGGGCAGAGAAAATTCGTTGGACTTCGTGCGCAGCCGTGGGGGCTGGGGACTCGACCGCGTTTCTGCTACCAGGGTTGGGGGCGGGAGAGATGTCGTCCCCGTCGTCGAGCCTCACTGACCGAGTGCGTAGCTGGGGCTGTCCGCTGCTGGAGGCACAAGCGCTGTCCGGATTGGGCCCAGACTGCGAGGGCAGAGTGTCGAGGGGCGAAGTGGACTTCGCCCGAGCGGCGGCCGCGTCGTCATCATCGGCTCTCCGCGGCTGCCACCGCCATGCCTCAGCGATGCCTATGTGGGCAGGCCGAACTTCGCTGGGGTCGAGAGAGCTCCCGCCCCTGCGACTTTTGGTCCTTCCAGGGTGCTCCTGGCGCCTCCGTCGAATGTGACCTCGTAGGGCCACTGGGCCGCGCCTGCTGCGGGGAACGGGGAGTCGCCTTCGGTGATCTCGCCCCTTCGCTCCATGGGCCTGCTATATAGACCGCAGGGCCACGGCGTGGGTGTCGCAGGCGCGGCAGCATCTCCTGATCCAGTGAGCCCTTGGGTCTGCGCCCGTGCGGGGGCAGAGGGGGCCGCCCTCGGCCCGGGGCCGTCCGGCCTGCCCGCGCATCCGCGGCCCGGAGCACGGCAGGCCGGCCCCCTGCTCGAGTCGCGCGGCCGGCTATGCGGGGAGGCGCCCGACCTCCCCGCCGGCGCGGGCGGCTCGTCTGTCCATGTGTGGACTGGCTGCGCCGTCTCTCCGCTGGCTCGTGTTCCTCCCTGCGGGTTTTGCGTGTCTCGCATGCCGTGAGCATCTGGCGCCCCGTCGGACGTGTCGGCCGGGTCAAAGGGGGGGGGGGGCCCGGCCCTCGTGCCGGTCGTCGTCAATGTCATTAACTGCTGGTCGGAGTCTG